AACGCCTCTTTTCGACTAAGCCAACCGTAGGTAACACGAAGTTTTGGATTGTGGAGCGACTGACTCGCCGTAACGCCCGATTTCACTATATGCAAATATTTCATTAACTAACATGATTTTGATATATTTCTTAATATGAACCACATGCTGTGCTTAATAGTCATGCAAATATTTTGATTCACCAACATGACTTAAGTACATTTCTTTATACAAGCCCATGCTGTGCTTGGTTAAAGTACGTACGTACGTACGTATATTTTTTATATGAGTCATATGCGCATACAATATTTCATTCTCCAAAGTCTTAGAGAATTTAAACTTGCGGAGAGCTTGGACTTCGTCTTTCTCCAGGGGTTTCGCCGTTCGCCAGGGTTTCGCCATTCGCAAGGGTTTCGCCTTTCGCCGGAGTTTCGCCAGTTTCGTGTTTCGCCGGGTTTAGGTTTCGTATTTCACCATTTGCGAAAAACCGTTTCGCCTAACAACTATAGTTCAGAGTACTTTTTTAAAAAAACGAACCTAATAATAATGAAATAAAAAAGCTGTATCGAGAGCTGTAGGACTCTATAGCCAAAAATAAGATACAATTCTCGTCAGTTTAAAAAAGGTAGTATGGTAATAACTTCTAAACCCCGATAAAATCAACTTATTATTAAGGCAGTTTGTAATTGAATTTTCGGTTAACATCACTTTAGAACTCTTTGGAGGGGATAAAATTAACCGAACATATAGAATGAACAAATATGAGACAATTTGATTGGTCGATGTAAATCAAGAGATTGGTGAGAGTTATCCATCGTTTTGATTGGTTGTTCATTTCTCGGGGAGCCTTCAGCTGGGAGGGTGATGTTAACCGAAGAATCAACTTCGAACGGTCTAAGCTAAGTTCTTTAAACGGACGAGAATTAGATCTTATTTTTGACTATGGAGTCCTACTTCTCTAATGAAACCTTAAATACGGCTTTTTTTTTATTTCATTATGATTATTTTTCGTTTTTTTAATAAGTACTCTAAACTGCATAAATAATGTAAAACTAAATTGAATTTATTAGCCATTCAGACGAACTTCTGCCTACGATATCAATTATGTTCTATTAGATGTTCGAAGTATGCTATTCGGTTCTAATTTAATTTCCAGTTACGTTACTTGGACCATTTGTTAACTACCATATGTGCCTTCGTTCCTGGTTCCTAGCGGACTGCGTCGTCCAACTATCTTATTCAATAAATTACACTCATGTATAAACATTACGTGTAAATGAATAAATTTTCTTTTTTTATTATTTGTAAAATTTTAAGTAGATATTCATTATAAAACCCTATAATATTTATTCTGAAGCTTTACAATTAGGTAATGCTTTTATTTATGTTTAATATTTTAATTTTTATTTCTTCAATATTAAATATAATTTCATGAGCTTATATTTTATATCTACAATTTATCCAAAATTATGAATAATGAAAATTATTATAAATGATTACAGAGCACTGTAATTTAAAATCTTCTATTATCTTTTAGGATTAAAATTTAGAGGAATTGAAAGATAAACAATTGATCCATAACTTTAATCTATATTCAGGTGTTTTGAATTTAGTGATCCATCATAAGCGACATTAACAAATGCAAGAAGTTGACAACGCTTACAAACATAATGGTCAAAATTTTGATTCACCAAGATAAGACTATCATTAAATATTTTAATTTCTTTACTACTATATAATGTTTCCCTTTTCCAATTATATTGTATTTCGCCAAAAAAATCATCAATTTGACGAGAATTTGTTGTATCGACAATACAATAATTAATAAAGAATTATTAATAAATTAGAAATCACGTTTAACCCGAATTTTTGAGCGAAATTCTGAAATGTACAGATGTCAAACCAAAGTGTAGAAAACTCTAACAAAAGAAACTAAATTTGATAATTTTAAACTTTAATGTAAAGTGAGAATTCACTTGGAAAAATGATTAGGTTTTGAAAAATCTGGTAATAACATAAAAAGCTTAAAATTTTTATACATTAATATTTCTACGCATTTATAAATTTTGTAATTGGAACATGGTATTGACAGCTAAAACTTTAATAAGATAATGTGATCTCCTTATTAGAAAGGAAATATATGTCATAAAAAAAGTATTACAACATAATTTTTACCTGAAGTTTGGCATGCGGCACAGTCTAAAGCTAAAATTTATGCCACAACTAATAGTTAATACCTCAAGTCAATTAACTTCATAAGTTTGCATATCAAAAACAAACTGTTTCGGCTTGGCTAAAAATACTTTTGAATTGTTTTCGCCATGAAATTTCGGAGGTTCTAGAAAATTTAGATGCCGAAATATTTTCAGCCAATCCAAAGTAGTTTCTATAACATGTATACTGAAATTATAATACAAAATTACGGCTAGTAATTTATGAAATTTATTAAATTCATTTCAATTTTCGCATAAATTACAGCTGTTTTCATAAATTCTAGGCATCTAAAAAAATTGGTGATTTCGTATGAACATTATCACTGATAACACCGAAATCAATATTCATCCGAGTAATTATTGATCAATTTTTTTAGTGTCTTGAAGTTTGTGAAAACTTAATTCTATCTAAAAATCGGTGCCTAAATATTTTTAGCAAGCCGCAACCAGTTTATGCGGCATGTATAATTTGTGACGATTAAAATGCTGCTACTGACTACTGCCTACAGTGACACTAAGTCTTAAAACGAATCTAGAGACTTCATTGTTACTTTATGTAGTGGGATAATAGGTTTGATACTGATCCTATCAGTTATCCGTTTATCCATTTACTGTATCCATCGGATATCCAGGTCTGAATTTATTCAGATATCGATATCTGAATGATTATCCGGATAATCACAAGGATGCCGGATTATCCGGATTGGAACTCTAGTTTGAGAGATACTATACTTACCAACTGTATAAAGACACTCATTTCAGGACTTCTTCGTCGGTTACTTCTTTTTCAGCTTTAATGTCATAAACAAATAACTGTGCAGATTCTTGACGTACGGATTCTTGACAACGTGTAAGGTAATTGCCAATGGTGAATGTTGATTCATATGGGTTATGATATACATGAATGCAAGTAGCCATTCCTTTATCAGAACTATTTTTTACTTGAGGAGTATTATTAGTTGTTTCTAGGACGTAAGTGCTAAACGTACCACAGTTGCTTATTATTAGGCTGATATTTCCCGTTTTTAAATATCAGTGGATATTGGATACTAAATTCAAAACTTGTTGGTGGTTCAATGAACATCCATCCGATTCTAATGTTAATATTCTTAGGCATTCGTTTAGCTTTATCACCTTGTATATGATGAATAACAATCACTGGGGTTTTTTTCCACACATATAATCCACATCTAGAGAAAATACATTGTAAAAATGATGCAAGAATATTACACTCGTCAATATTTACGATTTTTATAGGTACTAGCAACTATAGATATACGGTTTCTTATTTTTTTCGTATTCTTTTATATTGAACTTGATTTCATTGAATTTGGCTGTTGTTAACAAATAAATTAATGATTATAATTTTAATTAAAGGCATAAATAACTTTACATAATTAATATTAAGCCCTTACTTTCTAAAATTTGATGACCCATGATGTTCAACGCTTTTTCTTTCAATTCATCATCTGATAATTCAAATAATGAATAAATATTCTCGTATCCAGTTATTTTCCATTTTTTTGCATTATTAAGAGATTGTATCTAAGACGTTTTATCATTTTATAAATAGTCAGCTCCACCAATAATTGTTTTGACATTATTTGTACTATCATTATAATTGTTATACGTATCCTTATTGTCATAAACAGCATTAATTTTAGGCTTAAAAATGGTAGCAATCCCAGCTCCAACTTGAGGATTAATAGCTTTGGACTTAGAATTTTCGACTACAATAGATTAAATGTATAATTAAATTGAAGCAATTAATACAAGAGTTGGCACTTAATCCATATTAAAATCTGAATTGAAACATTAGATCACGCTAATCACAAACCTGAATTTTAGTATGTTCCTCGTTTTTTATTATAACGCCACCTAAAATAAGACGTTATACATAAGAGTGGCCATATTTTTCTGATATTTCGCAGAGTTTGTTTATTTTGTCATTATCACAGGCTGTATCATTCACAACATTTTCAACATCTTTAGTAAATTTTCAGCTGCAAAATATTTTTATCTAAAATAGGTAAATTTATAACTCCTTTTACTTAAAACTAGTTCATAAGAATGTCTGGTATGTATTGTATGTTTTTTAAGCGTTTTGTTTGAATTTTCTTGTGACAATCCAATACATGCAGAAACCCATTCAGAAGCAGCTGAAAGCTTTACATCAAACATAAAGGACCGTTTGCATTCTGTGGTTTTTTCGTGTTTGCATTCATGTGTTCCTTTGTTTTGCTCATTTTTTTTCTCTATCTGAATTCCATCATGAGTAATTTCGAATGCTTGATGAGATGCGCTTATTACTGAATTATCTTTGTTAATCTTGAATCCTTTTTCAAACCTTAATTGAGTCAAATCAAATTCAGCGTTTTGATTAATATATAAATAATGGTTACCATATTTTTTTTCAACAACTTCTAATAGTTCTAATAGGCTTAATTTCGGTTCATCACTTGGTCTAATTGCAGCTTTGTTTATTAAGGATAAAAAATGAAATTTGATCACATATTAAAATCATCATTGGTATCACTTTCATCTTTTAAAAGCATTGTACGAACATTATTAAGTTTAATTTTTTGAGATAACGGTCTAAAATAATAATCCTTTGATTCAATAACAACTACAACATAAATTATATCGTTATCGTCATCCGAATTTTTGCTGTTTTCATTTCTGCTACTCTCATCGTTAGATATTTCTGTTCCCATTTTTTGATTTTTTTTGGTTATCAATAACTGTTCGTTGCATTTAAAAAATTCGCACGTATGTACGTACATATCAATGTTATGCGTCATTTTTAAATTCTGTCAATTATTAATTGACGCATGTCATTTTTCAATCGGTATAAAATTTACAGAAATATTTATTATACGTCTTAATTTAATCCAAAATATTCAGATTTATGCAAGATATATTAAAATTTGCTATAAAAATGTTTGCCTTGAGTATAACGAATTTTTATTTCTACAAGAGCATGATTTAGTACTGCAATTCGTTTTTCGCAACTGCATGAATTTGGGCGAGTTTTTTTGACTCGAATCATTATTATTTGCACTGTTACTTCAATTCAAATTATATCTGTAAAATTTTATTTAAAGCTGAAAATTTTTTTTTATTTACTTACTTCGGAAATGTATGGGTTAATTGTTCTTGGGTATTCTTGAGTTGAGCATTTTTGTGTTAGGTGTTCTTGATTTGGGGTTCTTGCATAGTATGAATTATAAGTTTGACGTTCCTGAATATTATGAATTGGACATGTAATATTTTGCTTGGCGTGATTTTTTAATATATTAAACCATTCATTGTAGCGTTCTCTATCTATAAAGCTTCGTTATTTTTCACTCAATTGTTACTCAATAAATGAATAACAATTCGAAAATAGTTTGGAGTTTAAAAGATCTTACTTTTGTTTTAAAATTCCGACTCAGTGAATCAAATAATAAGATTAGGTTGTTTTTTTTTGATAAATATATACTAATAAATGATTATGTAAATAAGTCTATACATTAAAAAAAATAAGATATATGTATCACATATTTTGAAGTAAATACGTAACTTATTTTATCTGAAATCGGATGCCGAATCATCAATTCCTTTTATAGAGCTTCTACAAGCTCAATTGGCAAAAACAAAATTTTATCACTTTCATAGCTTTAGATCTTTAGCAATTTGGGATATTTTTTATAAACACACAACATAGGCTAGTTATAAAATATATATACAATAAAAATAAATAACAAAAATATTAATAATCCATATCTAAATTATGTTTGTTTAGTACTACGCAATAAGCATATATATTTTTATTTAAAGTTAACATGATGTCAAAATAAGATTAGAAATTGAAATGTAATAACTATGTGGCTTATTATTTTCTGTCTTCTCAAATTAAAAAGTTCAGCATAGTTAGATAGCTGTGCGATGTCGTCGCGCAAAACCAGGAACGGAAATCGTGAACAAAAATAAAGTCATACGTATTTAATTCGTATTTTCAAGGATTGCGACCTTTAAGTTATAACTCTCTTGGCAATATTCATATTTATAACACGCGTAAGCAAGCTAATAACATCGCCCTTAGGCAGTGAGATATCGTCAAGTAGTACCCACAAGGGGTGGTGCTCATTTCGCCGACAATCACTTCAACGACAGCCGATTTCACCGACAGTCAATTCGCCGACAGTCATTTCACCGACAAAGTAATTCTGGTCATTTCGTTAGGGTCAGTTGGAATTAGAGTTAATGTTAGTGCAACTTTAAAAAAAACCTAGTCGGTGAAACGGGCTGTCGGTGAAATAGTTGTCGGTGAAATAAACTTGTCGGCGAATTGATTGTCGGTGAAATGGGATGTCGGTGAATTGATTGTCGGTGAAATGACACGTACCCACATACAACCGATCTTACTCAGTAGCACCCATCCTCAGTAGTTGCAATCTTAATTCTGCAAGGGTCCGATTTAGATTACGAATGAACATAAGATACAAGCAAGGTGAAGTGAATGTTTTAATTAGATTCCGAAGAAAATTACCAAAATAGATCAAATTTATATCGCATCTACATTCTATCAAAAAAAACAATTACAATGTTAAAATCTAAATCATGTTCTCTTTCAGAATGCTTTTATCGCATAATTAACTTCGGCCAAATCGCATAATTCTGGACATCATCCTAGCTCAGACCAACACAATTCATACCGATACTTCCAATAGCAAACTATGTGATGAATAATACCGCATGAGGTATTCATCTCCTTACTGTTATTGCTGAATTGGTGTGATGCTATTTATCACATAGTTTGGGACGTCCCAAATAGGTCGGGCAATTATAGTATCAGTCATAAAATCACATGATATTTTTACAACCACCCGTGAAGTTTAAGGGCGTTTTACACCGCCCACCCCATAAACCAATCGGATCGAAGATTTTGTGTACACACGCACATTGAAACGCTGGTTCCTGGTATGTTATACTACACATAACACTCCGTTCCTGGTATACGTTATATTATTTAGTAAAACAAATCCCTAAAAGCAAGAATGTTAATGGACACATTTGATAATATCTTAAACATGTTATATAGTAAGAAATGTTAATTTAATCACGCCAAATTTAATTGACATCTTGATATAATTTATTAAATAAAAATTTTTAGCACTAAGTTTTATATACGTGATTTTACAATAATTTTAAACTTTATAAAGAAACATGATGGATTCGAATGTTGAGGAAGCCTGATACAAGTCAAAATATAGAAATTATAATTCTATTTTAAAGCATGAACTGATTTCTAGGCGATGCTTGGTTCGTGAAGGAAAATAGGCATCGGCTTTTAAATTATAAATTATCGAATTTAATCCTTAAAAAATCCAAATAATTGAGTCTAGTAAATTATAAAAGACTAAAGCTCAGTTTTTTGATGTACTTATATAAATATCAATTTAAGTTCAAAATTTGTTTGCTATTTTAATTTCAATCTGAGTTGAGTAATGTGTATATAATAATAACCGTTCTTTGTGTATTTCGTGCTGAATTAAACAATTAATAGAGTATTCATGCACTGTGTTTTATACAAGCTTTTTATTCTAAGGCGTCAAACCCAAAAATCTAGCATTTAATTAAGAAAGGAACTATGAATACTATACTACGTACTTTTACTTTTCTCTATCGATTAAGCATCCGGGATCAGATCATGTCTAACGAACATGTATCTGTTAAAGAAGCAATGTTAAAGCAGAATGCTAGTACATTTCACTTCATTAATTTGATTAGACAAATTCTAATTTATAATTGGTAATTGAATTAACTAGCCAAATCGGTTAGCGTGAAGTAAAAGTGAACAGAACATATGCAATAAAAATGTGTTCATTAGATTATTAGTTCAATTACAGTATTACTAATTTCTGCTTCAACAAAATATGAGTGACGAAGAAGGAATACCGAAATTCGATTTTTAAACATATCGGACTTAATCATTAAAAACTGATATGAGTCTAAAAATCCAAAGTGCTCAATATTTTATTTTTCTTTAGCATTACTTATAGAACAATTATTTTCAGCTTAATGCAATTTTCTTATCTAATCTCAATATAATGCAACTGTTTTACAATAAATGCATCACGCACAATATATATATAAGTTGAAACTTTGTTTTTCACGCGTAACCCAACATATCAGAATAATATGATTAGATATATACCGAGTACATCTTTGGTTTTTGTAAATGTCTGAATACATTAGCCAACACTTTACAGTATACCTTGCGATTAATCATGTGAAATATTGTGAGTTGAAAAATATTTGTTTAATAAGCTCCTTTAAATAGGAATTCGGATTAAAGTTACATTATAGGCTATAGTATAGCCAAATGACTAAAATTCATAGAATAAATAATAATGTTTGGATGAATTTAAAACAGGATTTTTTTTTTTATATTGAAATTCTAGCTTGAGGTATATTAGTTTATAAATAAATTTTGGTAAAGAAATGTAAGATGTGGATGTATTTTTAATACTTTTTAATACATATTTGTGTGCAATCTGTTATTCTAGTAACACTAAACTATTATATTTAATTGTTTTTTCTGTGCTAGTGCCTTTACTCTTAATTCACCTAGTTCATTATTTCTTAAATATAAATTAGTTAAGGTGGTGTTTTTGCATAAAGCTTCAGCCAGTGCTTTTCCTACTGATTTACCTAAGTTGTTATAACCTGGTATTTTTGCATAAAGCTTTAGCCAGTGCTTTTCTTTCTGATTCACCAAGATTATTACATGCTAAATCTAAATTAGTTAAGGTGGTATTTTTGCATAAAGCTTCAGCCAATGCTTTTCCTCCTGATTCACCTATTTCATTACCTCTTAAATCTAAATTAGTTAAGGTGATATTTTTGCATAAAGCTTCAGCCAGTGCTTTTCCTCCTGATTCACCAAGATTATTCAAACCTAAATCTAAATTAGTTAAGGTGATATTTTTGCATAAAGCTTTAGCCAGTGCTTTTTCTCCTGATTCACCTATTTTATTATTGCGTAGATTAAGTCAGTTAAGGTGGTATTTTTGAATAAAGCTTCAGCCAATGCTTTTCCTCCTGATTCACCAAGATTATTCCATGTCAAATCTAAATTAGTTAAGGTGATATTTTTGCATAAAGCTTCAGCCAGTGCTTTTCCTCCTGATTCACCAAGATTATTCGAACTTAAATTTAAATTCGTTAAGGTGGTATTTTTGCATAAAGCTTCAGCCAGTGCTTTTCCTACTGATTCACCTAAGTTGTTATAACCTAAATCTAAATTCGTTAAGGTGGTATTTTTGCATAAAGCTTCAGCTAGTGCTTTTCCTCCTGATTCACCTATCTGATTATCGTTTAAATTTAAATTAGTTAAGGTGGTATTTTGGCATAAAGCTTCAGCCATTGCTTTTCCTCCTGATTCACGTATCCGATTATCGTGTAAATTTAAATTAGTTAAGGTGGTATTTTTGCATAAAGCTTTAGCCAGTGCTTTTTCACCTAATTCACCAAGATTATTCTCACTTAAATCTAAATTAGTTAAGGTGGTATTTTTGCATAAAGCTTCAGCCAGTGCTTTTCTTCTTGATTCAAAAACACTATTGCAACTTAAATCTAAATTAGTTAAGGTAGTATTTTTGCATAAAGCTTCAGCCAGTGCTTTTCCTCCTAAGCCACTTGTTTTATTATATCCTAAATTTAAATTAGTTAAGGTGGTATTTTTGCATAAAGCTTTAGCCAGTGCTTTTCCACTTAATTCACCTAGATTGTTAAAAAATAAATTTAAATTCGTTAAGGTGGTATTTTTGCATAAAGCTTCAGCCAGTGCTTTTCCACCTAATTCACCAAGATTATTCCATGTTAAATCTAAATTCGTTAAGGTGGCATTTTTGCATAAAGTTTCAGCCAGTGCTTTTCCTCCTAATTCATCTATTTTATTATGGCTTAAATCTAAATTAGTTAAGGTGGTATTTTTGCATAAAGCTTCAGCCAGTATTTTTACTTTTGAATTGCCTAGATCATTCTTACTTAAATTTAAATTAGTTAAGGCAGTATTTTTGCATAAAGCTTCAGCCAGTGATTTTACTCCTGATTCACCTAGACTATTCTCATTTAAATCTAAATTAGTTAAGGCGGTATTTTGGCATAAAGTAGCCAATGCCTTTTCTCCTGATTCATCTAGTTTATTCTTACTTAAATTTAAACTAGTTAAGGTGGTATTTTTGCATAAAGCTTCGACCAGTGTTTTTGTAGCTTTACTGTCAAATCGATTATTCCTTAAATTTAAGCATATAAGAGTGTTGTTTTTATATAGAGCTTTGGCTAGAGCCATTACTGCATCGTCACCAAGATAGTTGTTTTCTAAATTTAAATTTATTAATGTGTTGCTATTGCTTAGTGCCTTGGCAATTTCTTGCCCTGCCCCATTACATAGTTTTTTTAAACTTAAATCCAAGCATTTTAAATTAGGATTTGTACATAAAGCTTCAGCTAGAGCTTTTCCCGCCTCATAACATAGCTTATCATGATTTAAATGCAAATTGCTCAGGTTGGTAATTTGATAAATGGCATCATTTAATGACAAGGTATATGGCCGTGAATCTGTTTAATTGAATAATATGAATTCGTATATAAATATATTATTTTAGTGTATATAAGTGAAAATTCTGGTTAAAGATGTTAAATAGTATGATTTATATCATAGATATTAAGTTGAATAAAAATAGTATACCATTATCAGACAACCTTCTTCGTTTTATTTCATCTTATAAATATAATACCGCAAAATAAGTTCAGTAATACGTTGAGATCGATAAAATAAATATTAAATTTAAACTTTGTACCATAATAATTTTCATCTAGTAAAAATTCGATAGGATGTTTTTTTGAAAGTGGTATGTTTATCGTTGAATTTCGACTGTTGGCGTTTTTGAAGTGCTCAGGACTGGGTATCCATTTAAATTAGAAACATTAATTTATTATTTCAAATTCTAATTTGTAAAAAAGAAACCTAATTACTTACATAATATTAAATGAATCGCTGTTAATGCTTTGAAAAGAATCTATAGGGCGTAACGTAATAGATTTAGAACCTTGAAGTAAATTTAAAATCATAGAGTCTATAGTAAGATTTAATAATTGGCTGTGAGTTTTAGAATGAGGGTGCATATATTTAACGGCTAATTTTCCGGTATTAAGCAATTTTTGTCGTTTATTTTCAGCTTCTTCTATAAAACTTTGAGTTTCATTCCAATATTTAGAATTTACTTCATCAAATATTTCATCAATAGTTGGCCTTTTTAAAGGATCCGAATGCCAACATTTTTGCATTAAAATAGCCCAACAGTGTGGAGTATCTTCAGTGATAATTGGTCGTAATTCATTACATATATCAAGCGCAAGAAGTGAGTCATATTGCCTATCATAGAAAGGGCGATATCCACTTGTAAGTTCCCACATAATCATTCCTAAACTGTAAATATCCGAACTAAATGAATATTGCTTTTTATTAAGCACTTCAGGTGCAATATATGGCATAATTCCATATATATTATATCCTGAACTTTCCTCATCATCTTTTGCTGGTCGACTAAACCCTAAATCAGCAATTAAAATATTAGAATCAGGACCATTGCTTTTCAAATTGCCTATTAATATATTTCCACTGTGTATATCACGATGTACAATTTTACTTTTATGAATCCATTTAATTCCCGTAACAATATCCCTAAGAAAGGCACATTTCATATTCCAAGTAACATCCTTAAGATTATTAGATAAATAATCATTCAGACTTCCATTATACATATAAGACATAACAAAAATATAATCATTTGTTTTTGGAAATTGTGATACTCCGTAACATTGAATAATGCAACGCATGTAGGAATTAGGCTGGCTTTTAACGATATTTTGTAACTGTAGAAAAAAAGACAAATGTTTAGACTAATCTACCGATAATTAAGATAAGGCTTATCAATTATTACCTCTTTTAAGAATTTCGAATTAATATCTTGAGAATCCTTGAGAACTTTTAATACAACCGTTTGATTATTATTTCTATTATATCTTTTTTCTATTCTGCTCCAACTTTTTATTGATCCATTTGTCCATGTGGCCATATAGATTTCACTAAAACCACCATTTCCAATTTGTTTTATATCTGTAAAGTCCTCAAACGGGATCCACTCTAATCTAAATTTAGGCTGATTATGATATGTTGCCTTTATTAAATCGTCAATATCTTGATTTCCGCTGCTAACATTCTGTAACTGTGTTTGGCTATAATAGCAACCGGCACATAATTTACTCTCATCTAAAAGTTCTTTTTTTCTATTACAGCCGGTGCATTTAGGTTTACAACTATTGCATAGCTTATTACGGTTAAGTATTTGATATTTATTGCAATTTACGCATTTCTCTTTACGGTACACCATGTTGGCTTTTTATATCTAGAAAGCAGAAATTGCGTATAATTTGCTAGTTCACATGAACGTGGAATGAGGTTAAATCTGGTCAGTTAAAGTTTAAATTAACTTGGTTAAAGGAATAATACAATAGAGTCGTTATAAACAAAGATTAAATCTTTTATTTGATAGGAAATAAAGCTATTTATGCTTTTGATTTCTTAGGGCATAAATTTAAATCTTTTCCATATCGAACGTTTATTTTTCCAGTAGAACATCTGATCGCCACATAATCTTTGTTATAACGCAGGTTGCGCCATTAATGGCTGTACTCTAAGTTTGGAAATTTCTATGAAGTTTCTAATATAATACTTGTATAACACTAGTACATAAGCGAATAATAATCAAAAATTAAATGTAGATAGGTGATCGATTAACGATAATGACACACTGGCTACTCACAGAGCATGGTTAAATTTCCTTTTATTAGCTAAAAAAAAAGTCAATTGTGCAACCATGTACAATATAAATAATTCAATTTTAAACGTATTTACAAAAGAAAATTTACGTATAACGCACAACAGAACTTTCTATAAAATTTATCTTTTTATCGCTCGACTTTATATGAGGCCATTTTTTATCATAAATATACTTTAGACATGCTTTTTTATAGGATAAAAAAAATCAACATGATCACTAACCATAAATTGTCCCTAATTTTATTAATATGATCTCGGTCAATAAATGGATATTTAACCATGCTGCTTTGCAGCCAGTGGTCATTCTTTCATTATCCGTTCGTCTGATCTTGGTTCGATTTTTAGTTATTGCCCACTTCATAGACAATAATTTATACATATTATAAATAAATATTGTTACTAATTGTAGTAAAATTTGTGCTAATTTAGATCACTAGTAATTATTTTCAAAGTTTTGCTAAAAATTATGAATTGTTTGTTATATATTATTATTTATCACTAATATTATTAATTGGCACAGATGCTATATATTAATTATAATTATCATTAAAAAATTTTGCTGATGTAGGTGAATCAGCATTATCTAATACTTTGCGGTTGATCATGTAAAATTTTGAGTTGAAAAATGTTTGCTTAATAAGCTCCTTTAAATAAGAATTCGGATTAAAATTACCTTATAGGTTATAGTATAGTCAAATGACTAAAATCATAACATAAATAATAATTTTTGGATGACTTTAAACAGAAATTTCTATAAAATTCTATTTTAAGGTATATTATATACTTATAAGTTTTGTAAATTTTTGGTGACAAACTAATTATAGATGATGGTCGTTTATAAATAAATTTTGGCAAAGGAACCTTAGATGCTACAAATTCACCAATACGATGTGGATTTATTTTTATTACTTTTTAATACAGATTGTGTGCAATCTGTTATTCTAGTAGCACTAAACGATTATATTTAATTGTTTTTGCTTCGCTAGTGCCTTTACTCCTAACTCACCAATTTTATTAAGTCATAAATCTAAATTAGTTAAAGTGGTATTTTTGCATAAAGCTTTAGCCATTGCCTTTCCTCCTGATTCACCAAGGCCATTCCAAAATTAGTTAATGTGTATTTTTGCATAAAGCTTCAGACAGTGCTTTTCCTCCTGATTCATCAAGATAATTCTCACTTAAATTTAAATTCGTTAATGTGGTATTTTTGCATAAAGCTTCAGCCAGTGCTTTTCCTCCTGATTCATTAAGATAATTCTTACTTAAATTTAAATTTGTTAAGGTAATATTTTTGCATAAAGCTTCAGCCAGTGCTTTTCCTCCTGATTCACCTATTTTATTATTGCATAGATTTAAGTCAGTTAAGGTGGTATTTTTGCATAAAGCTTCAGCCAAAGCTTTTCCTCCTGATTCACCAAGATTATTGTTCCTTAAATTTAAATTAGTTAAGGAGGTATTTTTGCATAAAGCTTCAGCCAGTGCTTTTCCTCCTGATTCACCAAGATTATCTGATGTTAAATCTAAATTTGTTAAGGTGGTATTTTTGCATAAAGCTTCAACCAGTGCTTTTCCTTCTGATTTAACAAGACCATTCCATGCTAAATCTAAATTAGTCGAGGTGGTATTTTTGCATAAAGCTTCAGCCAGTGCTTTTCCTCCTGATTCACCAAGATCATTATTACTTAAATCTAAATTAGTCAAGGTGGTATTTTTGCACAAAGCTTCAGCCAGTGCTTTTCCTCCTGATTCACCTATTTTATTATTGCATAGATTTAAGTCAGTTAAGGTGGTATTTTTGCATAAAGCTTCAGCCAGCGCTTTTCCTCCTGATTCACCTATTTTATTATTGCATAGATTTAAGTCAGTTAAGGTGGTATTTTTGCATATAGATTTAGCCAGTGCTTTTCCTCCTGATTTACCAAGATTATTCGAACCTAAATCTAAATTAGTTAAGGTGGCATTTTTGCATAAAGTTTCAGCCAGTGCTTTTCCTACTGATTCGCCAAGAACATTCGATCTTAAATTTAAATTAGTTAAGGTGGTATTTTTACGCAGAGCCTTGGCTAGAGCCATTCCTGCATCGTCACCAAGATAGTTGTTTTCTAAATTTAAATTTGTTAGTGTGTTGTTATTGTCTAATGCCTCAGCTATTCCTTGCACTGCCCCATTGCATAGTTTTTTTGAACTCAAATCCAAGCATTTTAAAGTGGGATTTGCGCGTAGAGCTTCAGCAAGAGCGTTTCCCGCCTCATAACTTAGCTTATCATGATTTAAATTTAAATTGCTCAAGTTGACAATTTGATAAATGGAATCATTTAATGATAAGATATGTGGCTGTGAATCTGTTTAATTGAATAATATAAATTCGAATATAAATTTATTATTTTGGCATATTCAAGCAAGTATGCGGGTTAGTAAAATGATTTATATTAAATCAATAATTATAGATACAACATTGGTAAAATTAGTATACCATTATTAGATCTTATAAATATGATATCGTAAATAAGCCTAGTAGTAATACATTAAAATCGATAAAATAATCGAACATTAAGCTTACTATAATCATTTTCATTTAATAAGAATTCGATAGTGTTTTTTTGACGTTGATATGCTTATCGCTGAATTTTATCTGTTAGCGTTTTTAAAGTTTCCTGGACTGTGCATCCATTTAAATTAGAGAAATCATTTATTATTTTAAAATGTTCAATTTGTAAAAAAGAAACGTAATTACTTACATAATGTTGAATGAATCAGTACTATTGTTTGGAAAAGAACCAATAATACGTAATGTAAAAGATTTAGAAACTTGAAGTAAATTTAAAAGCATAGAATCTATAGTAGGATTTAATAATTGGCTGTGAGTTTTATAATGAGGATGTATATATTTAGCAATGAAATTCCCGGCATTAAATAATTATTGTCGTTTTTCTTCAGCTTCTGTAAAAATTTCGGCTGTAGCCCAATAACTAGAATATACTTCATCATATAATTCATCAATAGTTGGCCTTTTTGAGGAATTCGAATGCCAACATTTTTGCATCAAAATAGCCCAACATTGTGGAGTGTCTTCGGTAATATTTGGTCGTAACCCATTACATATATCAAGCGCAAGATGAGTGTTATATTCCCGATCATAGAAAGGGCGACATCCACTTGTAAGTTCCCACATAATCATTCCTAAACTGTAAATATCTGAACTAAATGAATATTGCTTTTTGTTAAGAACTTCAGGTGCGATATATGGCATTATTCCATATATTTTAGGTTCCGAACTTTCCACATCATCTTTTGCTGGTCGACTAAACCCTAAATCTCAATTAAGGGATTAGAATCAGAACTAATGCTTGTCAACTTGCCTATTAATATATTTCCATCGTGTATATCGCGGTGTACAATGTTATTTTTATGAATCCATTTAATTCCTGTAGCAATATCCCTAAGAAAGTGTCGTTTCATTTCCCAAGTAAGATCTTTAAAAGTATTAGATAAATAATCATTTAGACTTCCATTAGACATATAAGATATGACAAAAATATAATCATTTGTTTTTGGAAATTTTGATACGCCATAACATTGAATAATGTGGCGCACGTGGGAATTAGGCTGGCTTTTAACAATATTTTGTAACTGTGAAATAAATAATAAAATGTTAAAGTAATCTATTAATGGCTAAGATAAAGTTTATCTATAATTACCTCTTTTAAGAATGTCGTATTAATATCTTGAGAGTCCTTTAGAACTTTTAATACGACAGTTTGATTGTTATTTCGGTTGAATCTTTTTTTTACCCCGTCCCAACTTTTTATTGAACCTTTTGTCCATTTTGCTTTATGGATTTCACTAAAACCACCCTCTCCAATTGGTTTTATATCAGTAAAATCCTCAAATGGGATCCATTCTAATCTAAATTTAGCCTGATTATTATGCGTTGCCTTAATTAAATTGTCAATATCTTGATTTCCGCTACTAACATTCTGGAATTGTGTTTTGGTATAATAACAACTGGTACATAATTTACTTTTATCAACAAGTTCTTTTTTTCTATTACAGTTGATGCATTTGTCGTACACCATATTAAACTTTATTTTATGTGATATCTAGAAAGTGAAATAATCGCACAATACGTACAATTTACTTGTTCACATATAAAAGCTCTATATTTACGGATGAGCCTTATTAAATAATAAAGAGTGCACGAACCATGGAATGAATTCAATTTAAGTTAGAATTAGTTTGTTAAAGGAACAATACTAAAGAATCGTTATAAAAAAAGATTTTATTTGATGGGAAATAAAGATATTTATGCTTTTTATTTTAAGCTATGTCTTCCATATCGAATGTTGATTTTTTTCGTAGAAATTTCCAATCACGCATATGCCCTTTCGTTATAATGCAGATTGTGCCGTTAATGACTGATTTATAAGGTTGGAAATTTCTAAGATGTTTCTAATTTAAATCATTTATAACGGCAACACTTGTATAACATTGGATTTAACCATAGTGAAAACAAAGCATCCGACTTTAAAAACTCAAAATTTAGCTTATAAATACTTTGTGTCTTGAAAAAATTCATTGCAAAATTTTGCTAGATGAGTGTTCTCTTTAACATCATCCTAATGCTCACCTTTACCCTAAAATCATAAGTTAATTTTTAATCGAACAATGCGTTGATAGGACCACGAATTTTATTTGGTAGCTATGTATAATCTAGCGGGAGACGTATGTACGTAAAAATTTAATATTTTCACTGATTTTGAATACTTTTTTCGTTTCAACTTTTTAAAATATTGTTGACAATTACAGTGGCGGCCAAAGATATTGCATCACCTGAACACGAAATTTAAAAAGGCGATATCTCGTGACTCAACGTTCAC